CCTTCTGTCCCTGACCCCTCTGCCTGCTCACCACTCGTCTGTCTCCAGTTTGCTTGGATTCCCTCCCTGGAGATCTCAACTAGAAAGTCAGACTGTTTTGCTTTGTGGATTGTTCCTGTGTACTTGCTGTGGATTTTACGACCCTGCTTGGTCAATAAACTGTCGAACTCCGCCACCTGTCTCAGCAGGAGTTGGTGCTCCTCTCCCTTCGCCCCGTGAACCTAATGTGGGAGCACCTGAGCGTTATGATGGCGATCCTGTCACCTGTAACGCCTTTCTCTGCAACTGCTCCATCATCTTTTCCCTGCAGCCGCTCACCTTTTCCTCCGAGGAAGCCAGGGTGGCTTATACTATTAACCATCTCACGGGGCGGACGCGTCTTTGGGGCACCGCTGAGTGGCTGAGGGGGACCTCTGCCTGCCCCTCTTTCCAGTCCTTTGCCAACGAGCTCAGGAGGGTCTTCGGAACCGGATCTCTGGGGGCCGACGCTGGACGAGAGTTGTTGGATCTGGTCCAGGGGAGCCGCTCAGTCACGGATTTTGAGATAGACTTCCGAACCAAGGCCCCCATGTGTGACTGGAACCCGGCCGCTCTCCGTGATGTCTTTATGCGGGGGCTGGCTGGGTACATGAAAGATGAACTTGTAGCTTATGAACTGCCGTCTACCCTGGAGGGTCTAATTGAGCTCGCCACCCGTCTCGACCTGCGCATCCAGGCTCGCAGGAGGGAGAGACGCTCTGAGTTCCAGTCACGTTCTGCCCGGCCACACAGCTCCCTTCATTCCAAGTCTCCCGTAACTCCTGCCTCCTCCTCGTTAGCCTCAACCGCTCCTGTAAGTGTGGAGGATCCTGAGCCTATGCAGCTGGGTCACACCCGCCTCTCACTTGAAGAGAGGGAGAGAAGGCAGAGACTGAACCTTTGTCTGTACTGCGGCCAGCCAGGACACTTTGTCAGCCGGTGTCCAGTAAAAGCCAGAGCTCACCAGTGAACGGAGGCATACTGGTGAGCTCCATCCTTGGTCCTGCCTCCCTAAAAGGCCCAGCCTCACTGGTGAGTTCCTGCTGCCTTCTGGGCTCCCACTCCATCGCCGTCCTCGTCGATTCAGGGGCTGACGAGAGCATTATGGACCAGGCCCTCGCTCTCCCGGCTTGGTCTCCGCCCAGAGAAACTGTCATTGCCCATCTCAGCCAACCCTCCCCAGACATGTGCTGGGGAGGGTTACATCACAAACCAACCCTGTGCGCATGCTCCTGCCGGGGGGCCACAGTGAGACCATCCAGTTCCTGCTCCTGTCTACACCAAGCCAGCCTGTCATCCTGGGGTATCCCTGGCTTCGCAGGCACAACCCCAACATTGATTGGACTACCTGTTCCATCCAGAAGTGGGGAGAGACCTGCCAGCGGACCTGCCTCAGGATACCATCGCTGTCATCTGCTTCTCCTGTTCCTGCTCCAGCCCCAGATCTCATCGGAGTTCCAGCAGCTTATCATGACCTGAGAGAGGTGTTCAATAAAGCTAAGGCCACCTCTCTGCCACCTCACAGCCCCTATGACTGTGCCATAGACCTCCTCCCGGGGAACTTCGCCTCCCAAAGGACGCTTGTACTCTCTCTCTGCTCCTGAGAGAAAGGCCATGGAGGAGTACATACAAGACTCCTTAGCGCCAGGGATCATCCGTCCTTCCTCTTCACCTGCTGGTGCAGGGTTTTTCTTTGTGGATAAGAAGGACAAGTCTCTGCGGCCCTGTATAGACTATCGTGGACTTAATGACATTACAGTTAAGAACCGCTACCCCCTCCCACTCCTCTCCACAGCCTTTGAACTGCTGCAGGGGGCAACAGTGTTCTCCAAGCTCGACTTGAGGAATGCTTATCATCTGGTTCGCATCCGGGAGGGAGATGAGTGGAAGACGGCCTTCAACACACCAACTGGACATTATGAATATCTGGTGATGCCCTTTGGTTTGACCAACGCCCGGCCGTCTTCCAAACTTTGGTCAACGACCTGCTCGGGGATATGCTAAACAAGTTTGTCTTCGTTTACCTGGATGATATCCTGATTTTTCTCGTAACCAGGGGGAGCATGTCACTCATGTCAGATCTGTCCTCCGCCGCCTCCTGGACAATTCCCAGTATGTCAAGACAGAGAAATGTGAATTTCATGTACCCTCAGTCTCCTTCCTGGGATACATCATTGCCAAGGACTGCTTGCAGATGGATCCAGCTAAGGTCTCTGCAGTGACCTCCTGGCCAGTTCCGGAGACACGCAAGCAACTGCAGCGTTTCCTGGGGTTTGCCAATTTCTACCGGCGTTTCATCAGAGGTTTCAGCTCCATTGCCTCTCCCCTCTCAGCCCCTCACCTCATCCAAGACATCCTTCCGCTGGACTGACGAGGCACAAGGCGCCTTTGACACCCTCAAGACTCGCTTTTCCACTGCTCCCATCCTCCAGATCCCCGACCCTGATCGCCAGTTCATTGTGGAGGCGGACGCATCCAGCGTGGGGGTGGGGGGCGGTTCTGTCACAGCGATCCACCGTCGACCAGAAGGTCCACCCCTGTGCCTTTTTCTCTCGCCGCCTAACTCCCGCGGAAAGGAACTATGATATTGGTAACAGGGAGCTTCTGGTGGTGAAACTGGCCTTGGAGGAATGGCGCCACTGGCTAGAGGGAGCTAAGGTGCCATTCATTGTGTGGACTGATCATCGCAACCTGGAATATATTCGATCTGCCAAGAGACTGAATTCCAGACAGGCCCGCTGGTCACTGTTCTTTGACAGGTTTAACTTCACACTGTCCTATCGACCCGGGTCTCGTAACATCAAACCAGATGCACTTTCCCGGCAGTTTCCTGAGTGTCCTGATGAAACGGTTGAGCCCTCCACCATCGTCCCAGCCTCCTGTCTCGTTGCTTCTGTCACTTGGGAGATAGAGGAGAGGGTGCGGGCCGCCACTGAGGACCAGCCTGGTCCTAGTTCCTGTCCCCCTGACCGTTTGTTTGTTCCGGCTCACCTCCGCTCCGATGTGCTCCAGTGGGGGCATGCTTCCCGGCTCACCTGCCACCCCCGGCATTCAGCGGACCCGAGACTTCCTGCAGCAGCGCTTCTGGTGGTCTTCAATGGAGGAGGACGTCCGAGGCTATGTCAACGCCTGTCCTGTGTGCAACCAGAACAAGACCTCTCGTCGTCCACCAGCCGGCTTCCTGCACCCATTGCCTGTTCCTCATCGCCCATGGTCACACATCTCCCTGGACTTTGTAACTGGCCTACCTACTTCCAAAGGTCACACTGCCATCCTCACAGTTGTCGACCGTTTTAGCAAGATGGTCCACTTCATTCCCCTTTCCAAGCTTCCCTCTGCCAAAGAGACAGCTGAACTGGTTCTCCAGAACATCTTTCGTCTTCATGGACTGCCCACTGACATTGTCTCCGACCGGGGGCCCCAGTTCACATCCATGTTCTGGAAGGAGTTCTGCAGTCTAGTTGGGGCCTCTGTCAGTCTGTCTTCTGGCTTCCACCCCCAGTCCAATGGGCAGACAGAGAGAATGAACCAGGACCTGGAAACCACTCTTCGCTGCTTGATCAACCACAACCCTGCTTCCTGGTCTGAACAACTGATCTGGGTAGAATATGCCCACAACACCCTCACCTGCTCTTCTACTGGACTTTCTCCCTTCAAGTGCGCCTATGGCTATCAGCCTCCACTGTTTGCCAACCAAGAGAGGGAGACTGCCTGCCCATCGGCACAAGCCTTTGTTCACCGTTGCCGGCGCACCTGGGACCAGGCACGTACTGCTCTCCTCAGGTCTGCTGACCGCTACGCTGCTGCCGCCAACAAGCACCGCACGCCTGCTCCCCGCCTACCAGGTTGGCCAGAGGGTCTGGCTCTCCTCCCGTGACTTGCCCCTAAAGGTGGAGAACCGCAAGCTGGCTCCCAGGTTTGTTGGGCCCTTTCCCATTGCTCGCATCATCAACCCCTGAGGCGGTACGTCTTCGGCTTCCCCGGTCCATGAAGATTCACCCGACGTTCCATGTCTCCAGGATCAAGCCAGTCCGAGAGAGTCCTCTGGTTCCTCCCATGCCGCCTCCTCCGCCTCCTCAGCTCGTTGATGGCGGTCCGGTGTATGCTGTCAGGCGCCTCCTTCGCTCTCGCCGCCGTGGACGTGGGATGCAGTATCTTGTGGATTGGGAGGGGTACGGTCCGGAGGAGCGTTCCTGGGTGCCGGCTCGGTTCATTGTGGATCCTTCGCTTATTTTTGACTTTCACCGTCGGCATCCTGACCAGCCTGCCCCGTCCTCACTTCCGCCTTCTGCGGGCCCATCTGCTGATGGACCTTCTGATCCTCTGGTCGGGGGGCACCGATGTGGCTGCCTCTTCCTGCTCATCTTCCTCTTCTGCTGCAGAGGACGTGGACTCTGCTGCCTCTGAGGAATTTTAGAAAGTCAGACTGTTTTGCTTTGTGGATTGTTCCTGTGTACTTGCTGTGGATTTTACGACCCTGCTTGGTCAATAAACTGTCGAACTTTGCCAACGCTGGTCTCAGTCTATGCTGTTCTTGGGTCCAATCTCACGCCCATTACACAGTTACAGGATTGAAAAATGTGAAATTCTGATAAGAGACCTATCAGACCATAGTCCAGTATACTTGTGTTAGGGATTAGTCATTGCAATATATTTTAATACACATAGATGTGAAAGCCTGCATTTTATAAAGCTTATACACACAAAGATGAAAAACACAGACACATAGTCTCATCTCTGCTTGTGAGCTACAATAGCTGCAAACATCTGGCCAGGGGAGGAAGAATGGGTTATCTCCAAGGTCGGAAGCACCCAGTTCTCTAGTTGCTCTAGTTTCATAAATGATATTGTATGGGAGGGGAAGCAGGGTGGAATTACTAATTTTTCTTTTAGGGCACTGTCTCCTCGGAATTGGTTGGGCCGTGTGCCAAGAGACTGGGACCAGTCTGAGCACCAACAAGGATGCACCAAGTCTAAATCACATTGCTTAATGTAAACAAATATAACCTCTTGTAACCTTTGGTCATTACTCTTTTTGGGGCGAGAAAAGACAGAGTAACAGTACTCCGCTGACTGTGGCTTCTCAATCCAACAAGATCCTTGTACAAGTATTATTTTAAAGGAGTCATATTATGCCCCTTTTTCAGGTCCATAATTGTATTTTGTGGCTCTCCTACAATAGGTTTAGATGTTCAAAAAACACATTATTTTTCTCATACTGCCTATAGCTGAGCAGCTCTTTTCAGCCTCTGTCTGAATCGCTCGGTTTTAGCGCCTGTCTCTTTAAGACCCCCCTCCCGAAAAGCCCAGTCTGCTCTGATTGGTCAGCATTATGACGCGGCTCACGCGGATGACGCGGCTCACGCGGATGACGCTCTGGCCCCTCCCCTTCGTTGCCGGCAGGTAGCTCCTCACTGTTACTGAGTTTAGCTGCATTTCTACCATCAATATTAATTCAATAACTGCTTCTGAACCAAAAACTGCACCAGCGGACATGTTAGAGCGGGAGTCTGACCTGAAATCACAGAGAAATTAACATCAACAACAATCAGGATCACAGCTTTCTGTGACGTTTTCCTCAGGTAAATACTGCTATATTAACTACATATACATATAACTAATATATATATATATATATATATATATATATATATATATATATATTAACCTCTATCACATAATGTTAGTGTTTATACCTTAACTATGAGAACCAGCACTGTGTTTTATGCTTGACTTTACAGGTACAGCAGTGAGCAGTGACCTACAGTCTACACAGCCCAGTGAAGTTAAACATATTATATATTACATAATATTAACAACATTAGTCAAGCAGTTTTTTCTAGATTAGAAATACCCAGTAAATGTACCAAAGTAATCAGAGTAATAGTATAATGATTACTGTAACCTCCCATCTGTTATATTCTTTATACACATTAGTTTACTGAGACCATGGAAACAGAAACCTGGAATACTTTATCTTGTACAACATGTCAACATAACTGAAGGAATTACTCATCTAATAAAGTAAATTGTTTATGGGGTTGAAAAACTGCTAAGTAACCAACTGTTAACTGTACTGTATCCATATTTCATATTCTGATATAGTATTATTACCAAAGATAACCTTCAGATATTTGTAAAAGCTGCAATTATGTTTAAAACCCATTAAAAATACTGTATACTGAATATTCTATCATTTATATTATATATTGTGATGTAATTTATCTTCCAACATAATAAAGTTTGAATGTGAGACAGTAATGTATTGTGTTGCTTACAGTCATTAATACAGGTTTAAATTTCACATTTTCATATTGATAGATGACCAGATTTTCAACTCTTTCAAAATCTTCATAAAACCTCTGTGAAATTATTATCTGTTATTTATATAAAACCACACTTATTACTGAATTTAAAAATGACCAAAACTCTTCTTAAAAGTAAAACACTTTATTTATGTTTCAGTCATATTCCAGTTACACATGTTGTAAGTAACAAAGCTAGAACTTTTATGTAAACTGTGCAGATCATGTTCTCCATCAAGGTTTATGGTTTCTAGTATATTGAAGTGTGAGCTGGTAATGGAGCTCTGCAGTCAGTGTTCATCTTCATCAGTCTTCCTTTGGATGCCCAGACTGTCCTGATGCTGCAGCTGTCTCTGTCATCTGATGGGTCCAGGAACTCCCTGAGCTTCATCAGGTCACCTGTAAGACATGGCAGATTCAGTGTTACTTGTAAGGCAGCATATAATATACAGTGTAATATAATATACAGTATAATATAATACAGTACAACAGCTCATTGTGGCTCAAAGTAGTCCTAAGTTATAAACTAAAATAATAAAGCAGTGTCTCTGGTGGGTTCCTTGTTGCAGCTAACTGTAGTGATGTGTTGTTGAAACAGTCTGAGGTTACCAACACAATGTCTATCTAATGGCAGCAGATACACACACAGGACATTTACTGACTGTAACTGATGTTGGAACAAGTTCCCGGTGCAATAACAGACATTCAGCAGTGAGCCCTCAGTGTTTATAATACAATAGGAGATTATATGAGTATAGGATGTTACACTGGACCTACACTTATATCGTCAGTAATAGCAGTACTTCAGTAACGCTAAATAAATGGATCAGAAAACTTTTATTCGTCCGTTTGACTCCACATAAAGCCTAGTGAGCAAAGTTACACAATATTACTAAACTAATGAATCCCTGCAGTTTGACTATTTCTCTCTCACAGTAGCTCTATTGTTAACTCTGGTGCACGTTGATCAAGTTCATTTACACACCGTAACAGACACACACACACACACACACACCTGAACGAAGCAGAGAAACAACAAAGCTAGCGCTAGCTGATAACGTTAGCACGTCAGTATAAAGTTACACAAGAAGCATCATGAAAACAACCACCAGACTCCAACCTAATGAACGGTTATCGATCACACTGCCCCTCGTATTACATCATAAAGTCCCACAGACTCAGTAACTATAGTAACACAGTGACATCACAGAGCTGCTGTGTGCTAATCAAAGCTACAATGCTACCAAACTAATGACCTCCGCTGCTGAATTTATACACAGTACAAGTACAGTGTCTTCTGATCACAGCTTTATTGATCCACACGGTGAACAGATACTGAGCTACCCAGCAGATAATAAGTTACCAGGTTAAAGACAATTAAAGCTAACTGACGTTATATTCCCGGTTCCATGCAGTTCAACAAGCTAACAGCTGATGAGCAGCTACAGTTTGTTCACTCTGAGGTTTTCTGCTCTTTCTAACAGCGACACAAACATATTACTGACTGAGCACTTTAACTAAATACAGACCAACATAAAGCCAATTTAACCCGGTCACAAAACCCTCAACAGTAACGGAGTTGAAGTAGAAGCTTTGTGATTTCTCTCCTGTATTCTGACTGAGGCAGCCCACAAAAACATGACTGAGTCATTTTTTTTCACACTTTGCCTGCTGATAGGCCCTCCAGAGTCCCAAATGTACATAATCAAATGATTAAAAAGTTGGTTTTGCATAATATGTCCTACGGAGCCCCTAAAGGGACATGAAAAAAAAAAAAAAATGAAACGTTTCTAGTGAGCACTAGATAGTATCTAGTGCTCACTAGATAGTATCTAGTGCGCACTAGATAGTATCTTGTGCTCACTAGATACGGATCTAGTGCGCACTAGATAGTATCTTGTGCTCACTAGATACGGATCTAGTGCGCACTAGATAGTATCTTGTGCTCACTAGATACTATCTAGTGCGCACTAGATACGGCTCTCGTGCGGGCATGATGTCTGAGAGACCATCCACTGCATTTCGGTTTGTGTTTCTGTGTGAAAATGACAGTACAGGAGTTAGTTCGACTATATTTTAACCTGGGACTTCATTATAAGGACATTGCTGCTTTACTTGCAAGTCGTCACCGTCATGTTGTGTCTGAAAGACATTTAAAACGAATTTTGAAGTCTTGTAGTTTGTTTCGGCGCAAGGGATACGTCACTTTGGATCACGTAGTTAATTTCATTCATGAACAGTTACAAACATCTGGCCAACTCTGTGGGTATAGGTGGATGTACACAAAATGCAAGGAGAATGGATTACACGTCAAGAAAGAAGAGGTACGCTTAATTCTAAAAGAACTTGACCCGAGGGGTGTTGAACTCAGAGCAAGGAGACGGCTCCATCGCCGAAGCTATTTTGCAAAAGGGCCCAATTATATTTGGCACTTTGACTCTTATGACAAACTGAAGCCATTTGGTATCTGTATCAATGGCTGCATTGACGGGTTTTCCCGGAAAATTATCTGGATGAATGCATTTACTACCAGCAGTGACCCAAAAATCATCGGAGGCTACTACATAGAGGCAGTCCAGAGATTGGGTGGTTGTCCAAGGATTGTCAGAGGCGACCGGGGCACAGAGAATGTTAAAGTCAGAGACTTTCAGCGTTTTCTTCGTCGCAACATTCACGACGGCTCCGGCATTGACAGCTACATTGAAGGGGCAAGCACAGCAAATCAGCGAATAGAGAGTTGGTGGGGCTTCCTCAGAAGGGAATCAATGGAATTCTACATCTCTCTGTTTAATGATCTGAAGGACCGTGGCTTGTTCGATGGTGCATATTTGGACAGAAGTCTAATCCAGTTCTGCTTCATGGGAATCATTCAGGTACAAATGTATCATATTGTTATGTAAAACCTAATTTCATCTTAAATTGTGTCCCACAAATGTTTTTTTGTTGTTGTTACATTCTCCAATGAGCAGCTGTCCACCTGTCTTAATCACTGTCATCCATGTGGTGTCCTACAATAATAATTCATAATGAAACGCGAAAATGGCTCTAACAGGGTTTTTTGAGCATGGAGGCGCCACGCACCGGTCTGCCATATCGTCACATTGTGTGTGCCCTCTCAGTGTCAATCATACTACTGATAGATGAGAGAAGGGGCTGATTAATTAGAATATAACATAACTTGTTGTGGGTGGAAACCACCAAAATGGTAGAAAAAGTTGCCTAAAACTAATTTTGTTGCCCAAACTTTATACTTTATTTAATGAGAATAAACACAGTAAAAGCAACTCAGGAAAACGGGCAGCGCAGCCAAGCAAACAGCCAACCATTCAATCAATCTGTTAATCATTTAATTGTTTACAGTTAACTGATCGTTAAGGAAATAATCTAATAAAGATAATAAAAATACAGAAAACAGGACTGACACCGCCACATTATACTATATATTCAATAATCCATCTATTCTGGGGGGGTGGGAATGACTGTGTGTGTGATTTGATGTGTGCACAGATTCGGGAGGTGCCGGTTGATAATGGTTTAGCACTGTAAAAGCTGCCTGAATATGTGTTCAGACATCCAGAGTGGCAGCAGAGGAGCACATATCCCATAACATACACATAATCAGGCCTAATATGATATCAGCTTGACTAGTGTGTGTGTGTGTGTGTGTGTGTGTGTGAGAGAGAGAGAGAGAGCTATATGTCGACTATAAGCCTCCTTGTGTGTGTTTATGTGGTCTGTGTTGCAATGTTGTTGTCCACGGTGCTGAATCGTCCTGAGCGCAGACACGCCACGGCTTCTTCATTATGATTTATTTTAGCTTACTCTGAACTGCCATTTTAATCGAAGATAAACTTCCAAAGAATACTCAAAATATTTCTCTTTATTCAATTAATCCAAAAAGCATTCTTATTCTTTCTGATAGCTTTTCATTCCCTTCAGGCGTCTTCACCGCTCTCAATTTAATATTGATATATGCGATCATGCAAAACACAAAATAAGTACCATGGATAGCGCCACTCAGCCAGCCGTGCCAAAACACTTATAACTTTAGTATTTAATAAAATAATAAATAATAATGGAAAATAATATATAGTGAGCGAACTCTATCAGACGGAGCACGAAATAACAGCAACGGCTGCGAATCCATCTCTGCTCTTCGAAATTTTTGTTCTATCTTTGAAATTTTTGTTTATTTTCCTATCATTTCTCCTTACTTCATCAGAAAAGTCAGCATTTAGCATGATTTATTTCAAAACTTTTATAAGGCCCACATGAGAATTACAAATTGCATATCAATTAACTTGTTTTCTTACTTTCTAATATACCGTTATTCCAGGACCGAATTAGATGAGACCATCCATGTGTGGGATTCACATGTCATCAGACCATCGAAGAATGACAGGGTACCCAGTGGTCGACCTCGAATCATGTACATGTTCCCAGAACTCTACACAAGTGATGACCGCATTTCCCCAGTGGACAGAGCTGATGTGCAGTTGTGTCAGAGTAACTGCACATTTCGACCAGCAGTGCCATGTGACCCAGACATCTACAACATCTGCAACATTCTGATGGTGGAGTCACAGCTGCATCTTCCAGCTGATGCTTATCAAGCATTTGATTTGTACCTGCATTTGAGGAATGAGATAAGATCCGCTCTCTAATTTGAGATGGAACTACATTTGTATCCATCTAAACTGAACACATGATCAGACAATTCTTCTGCAGTCCACCATGCTTTATTCACCAAACATTCTCAGTTGTAAAGTTTTCCCAGGAACTCTGTAGAAGCTATATTTGGAATTTTGGATTATTTCTCCTTGGAAAAAGGATTGATCTGTCACTATGTGCACACTGACTGTTACAGACATTAAGAACATTTGCAGCGATATTGTGCACACAGTTTTTCAAGGTACTTGGCAGTTTTGCCTGTCATGGATAACTTTTAGCAGTTCTTGTGTGGATTTAGGCTGTCTCAGTTGTTTCTGTCTCTTGAAGCCTGTGTTTCTTTGAATCAGTCTGGGATTACCTCGGATTTTTCAAATGACAGAGTATTAGCTCTTCTCAGTAATTTGTGCTGGAATTTGAGATTTAAATTTGTTGTACAGCATATAGCAGTATTGTCATAGATGTTTTACTTTGCCTTTACATCAGTCATGAACAGGAAACGAACAAAATCAAAACAAAGAAAAACAACATGGCAGGACATGAAAGAGGAATTACATTTTTACAACAATATTGTGCTCTTGACAGTTACTGTCTGTATGTTTACCATATGAGGCTCCAAAAAAAACAGCCATGGGTAGCCATTTGAAATGGTACTGTATGTACATCAAACAGGTATTATTTTGTTGAATGCTGAACTTCTTTCTTAATAACAATTGCAGAAAACATGCACATGATAATATGAAAATGAAAAGGGATGTTCACCTATGAGAGCAGACCTTTCTGACTTATCAAAATGATCAAACTTAAACTGTCTTCTGGACTTAAACAAAATGTAAAACTCAGTGTGCTGACAAATATTACAACAAAATCATTAACAATAAGAAAAAACAAAACCAAAGCAAAAAAATTAAAAAACTGTTTCAGTTTTAATAAAGGTTCAATAAAGCAATGTCATCAGATTATGCATCTGATTTTATCTCCTCTCGTTGTAGAACATTTTTTTCTTAGTTGTAATACATGAATGAACAAATACAGTTTTTTAAATGTAAATCTGTAGATTTGTTTCAGACAAATGCTATAACAATGTCAGTAGAAGAGGAACATTCACTACACAATATCCATTGTAAAGCAATCGCCAGACAGGACATTGTCAAACTCTTGACGAAACTCAGGGTATGAGCTGTAGGTGCATGGTAACTCAAGAACTGCTCCACATGTGTGTGCTACAGGCCTGCGACTTAAACCACACAATCTATTAAAAGTTACTTCGATTGTGTCTGTGCACAGCACAGTGGACCCTGTGCAGAAGCGTAAGAAGATCTCCAGTTTTCTTTGGGCGATGCTTCTCACATACCGTAGCAGGTGGTTAAGAGCTGTCTGCTCTTGTGGATTTAGGGCTTTCAGTTGATGGCTTTATCATCTGGGCCACTTTCTTGTTAGTTGGCCGCTTAGATTCGTAAAGCTCCATTATGCTTTCTTTGGTTATGAGTGTTGGCACAGCATTGTGAATACTGGAGTGGAAACAGTCAATTATGAACTTTGGCTCTTGAAGAAGAGCTTTGTGTGCCATTGTTAAAATGGCAGCCCGTACGTTGTCTTTAGAGGGCAGGCAGTGTGAGCCCATTCTTGAGAAGACGTCGAGTAAGTCCTCTTCAACAGTTTCATCAATGTTGCCCTGTAGTGCTTTTTCAAGTGATGCACGCTCATTCTCTGAAAGAAATCTGGAAAATGACATCATCAAGAGTTCTTCATCCACTGAACCAAGTCCTTGACAACAGGCAAGAACAAAAGCTGGTGACAGTCTGATTGGTATGATTTTGTGGTCCAGGTATCCTTTCAACCACACTCTTCCAAGAGCTTGCCATGCCTTCTCAGAATAGTCTGGTCGTAGTCTGGGTACTCGTTCATCTTCCCCCTCACACTGTTCCAAGAAATGTTCCCAGAACGCAGAGTATACCTCTCTTGACACACCATCACTGTCCACAGCTTTCTCATTTGTAAACTCCATTTTTAGATTAGCATTCAGTATTTTTGGTTCCATGAAGATATTAAGGACATCATCAACTATGTTTACTCGTCTTAATTTCACAAGGAGTTCTTTTCAAATGGGTCTGGTGATGCTGGAAGACTGCTTGATGATACAGGTCCATCATTCAGTGTAGAGTGCTGCAAGATTTTAAAAAAAGTAATTAGGTGTGATTATTGATCGATTAATCAATTGGTGAACAGAAAATGAATCAACGACTTTGACAATCAATATATCAATTAGCATGCAGAAATGAATTATGCTGTGGTTCTAGATTTGCTGCTTTTCTGTCTTATATCACAATACATGGAATATCTTTTGGTTTTGGAATGTTTGGATGAAAAAGTAATCTAAAAACATCAGCTTGGTGTGAGAGAACTTGGGATGAAAATTTGTCACTGTTTTGTACATTTCATAGACAGAATAATGAATAGGGAAAACTCTTTAAAAGAATCAATAATGGCAGTAATATTCTTTTTGCAGCACTGCTAGAAATGACTCAGTTCTACACTATACCTGCATACTGGTGGAGTCTTGATTATCACCATCATCACCACAAACAGGTCCAAAGTTTACTTCAAAGTCCTCAAGAGATGCTTGGATGGCAAGGGCAAGAGGGGAATCCAACTCGTCATTTAACAACTGGTCTGGATCTTGATTTGACACAGGCATTAAACACTCGTCTTCAGATCCATGCCTGCTTGTTGATTGCCGAGTTTGATTGCCAACATCACCGGAAGATGGTGGATGCAGGACCTCTGTGTTGCTCATCTCAGGAGTTGATGGTCTTGATTGACTGATTGGTTCTCCTCTCTGTTGATAATTAAATGAAAAAAACAAAACAAACATTATTACCTTATCTTTGTTTTTGCATCATCTGATCAAAGCCATCATGTGTACTATCACATTCATGTGATTAAAACATCTTGCACCTGAGCAGATTGTTTTGGTATATGCATATTGAGTTAATGTGGCATTGAACTCAAAACCTTTTGCCCACTTCCATCATCTTAGCTGCAGTTAAAATTTTGGATGGATTTACATTTGTTGTTTGCAACAAAATCATGGTCTCTTAAATCCCATCTCTGTGTCCTCACAGACTTCACGAGTTCGCAAGTTTTGGATTTTATCTTTGACTTTATTTTTTGGTTTCAATTTTGTATTTGATATTTTGATTGATACATTTTTGTTTCCATTTTAAAAAAGTATTGTTTGAACACTTTGGTACAAATTAATCTCCATACAACACAAGTTCCATACTGTATATCACAAACTGGGTCCATAAAAAATATGCAATACCGGGGGCTTACTTTTTCATGGTTTTCCTGCATTGAGCCACTGGGTGCTGGATCTAAATCAGTGGAGCTCTCTGGATGATCCCCTCGATGATCAGTTCCAGTCCTCCAGTGATGACATCTCCTGGTTTTGTTCCTCAAGGATTGTCTCTGCATTGTCCTAGTCTATAAAGAAATCAGCAGATCAGCAAATTATAGGCTTATACAGCCATGATTGTCCAACTGTTCAATACAAGTCTTTCTGAACTTATTGTGATTGAACATGCACATAAGTGGAGAGAGAAGTAGAGCAAATATGTTTAGAAAACTGTATTTACATCTCTTGACCTCTTGCAACTCAACTATCACCCCTGATTCAGCAGATAAACATTTTTTTGTTTGCAGGCTTCATGATCCTAATAGATTTGACATTGAGTTAAGACAATAGATTTATCCTCAAAAATCACTGATTCTAGTTGTTGAATTTCATGAGAAGAAAGACAGATAAACTACATGGCTGTAAGACTAAGATTATTTTGGCCAGATCCACAAAAAAATTAATTGCGCCTGCTAATTGCACCAGAATTGTGCAGCATTTGCACCCCCAATCTGCCCCGTTTAATGCCGTTTAATTGAATATGCCATATTTAAGAACACAGATTGGTCTATAATGAACATTGCAAAGAGCACAAATGCCCTACATTGCATGTCTTTAATTAGCAGAAGTGTGCACAAATAAAGCTCTCCACAATCACAAACCAACTTTCATGTATTTGTACTATTCTAGTATTTTACATCTATAACATAATCTACTGAGATTTTCCTTCATAGTACAGCTATTAATGTGACTCAGGCAAGTTTGATAAATGTTAGATTAATGTCTAAATCATACAATATTGTTGTTCAGGTGTCACTGAATGTATGGATTTCACAAAAACATCAGTACTGATATTATGTTTGTTGCCCACAGCTGGCTGCAGCATCACAAGGCAGCTGAAACTATACGTGCGTCTCCAAACTAACAAAGAGGCTGATGTGTGCGTTTACGCACGGTGCTGAGGTAGCTTCATTAACATGATTGGCCAGGATTTGATGATAGTTAATGTTCTGTGTTTTACTATACATCTCTACCGGTCAGCTGTTACACACTGTTTCCAGGTTTATACAGACCTTTATGGATAAATTCTGAGCCTCATCCCATCTGTTATTTTTATTTTAAAATCTGAAATATATGATTGTCCCCGATCAATATTCAGTACCTAGAGTATGTATTGATAACAGAAATGTGGCAGAAGATAAATTACCTTCATTGGCCTCTCATCTGTGGGCTCAAGTCCGATGATGCATCAGAGAGAAGTATTACGTCTTTAGCCTTGGAGGTTGTGTAGATGCGCAGCATTCGGATCTTAGTCTGCTCGTACAGCTGGCTCACTGTGACTTCAGGGGATACTGCATTGTGACTAAAATCACGAATATCAAACTCGAAGTCTTCCACTGGTCCTTTAGATGAATATCCATTTGGAAAAAACAAGCCCTTGCCCGTCTCCAGCAGTTCACCCATAGTTATTGATTTCTCCACTGACAGGTGCCGTGTTCCACCTCCATTTCTTGTTTTGATCTGGTGATAAGTGCCGTTATCAAAGTGGAGCCATCCCATTTCAATCCGCCGGGTAGCTTTGGCTGCATGTTTATTGCCAACAATGTTGCCAACTGTTTGTCTGTCGGCAGGAGTTTTCCGTTGTTCCCCGAGCCTGTCTCTTACTCTCTCTGCATGAAAGCGGACTTCACTGTCTCCACTCCTCCTGACTTTTCATTTGTTACAGTTCTTTGACGACAAAATGCTCTGAGTGCAAGTCGGTCCCCATATCTTACGATATACTGTCCTAACTCCTCATCTGTCATAACACCTATGACGTTGATGTCGATCTGTAATAAAGCAAGGCAAACGTCAAAAACGTTGGAAAAAATTACATTAACATAGCAGGTAGAGAAAGCTAGCAACATTAGGCTACACATGTATTGCTTACTTTATGTCACAAAAGTTAACATTTATCTTTACCTTATCATCTTTTAGTTGGTTGATGACACTATCAGGTATATTTCCGTTTTCAGGAAAGAGAATAAGTCCACTTCTGCAGCCATTCTTTGAGGTTAAGATCTTAATGAGCCTAAAGGCATATGCACAGGAAGCACAACTGCCTGTGCTTAATCTAAGGTTTCTCATGAGATCCAGTGGTTACTCGCGAGATCCGTATCTAGTGAGTCACAAGATCCGTATCTAGTGCTCACTAGATACTATCTAGTGAGCACAAGATACTATCTAGTGAGCACTAGATACTATCTAGTGAGCACAAGATACTATCTAGTGAGCACAAGATACTATCTAGTGAGCACTAGATACTATCTAGTGAGCACAAGATACTATCTAGTGCGCACTAGATACTATCTAGTGAGCACAAGATACTATCTAGTGCGCACTAGATACTATCTAGTGAGCACAAGATACTATCTAGTGCGCACTAGAAACGTTTCATTTTTTTTTTTTTTTTTTCATGTCCCTTT